TCTGCCTAGGGCAACTCTTTTGTACGATTGTAGGCCGATACTGCGGCAGCTGGAGGAGCTAGTCTTAGCTGAGAAGAGTCAATAAACAAATTTTTTGAACTTTTTTTAAAAATTTTTTTTCTGTACTTTGCAGATTGCCTGGTATGACGACACCAATCCGGACAAGGGTTTCCGCTACATCTACCTGACCCCGGAGAACTACAAGCGAGTGGCCGACTCGGTGAAGTGCGAGGTGATTGTGGAGGAGGGCGAAACCCGGTACAAGATCACCGACATCATCGGCGCCACCGACGGTCTGGGCGTGGAGAACCTGAAGTACGCGGGCATGATCGCCGGCGAGAGCTCCCAGGCGTACAATGAGATTGTCACCATCACCATGGTCACCTGTCGGGCGATTGGCATTGGAAGCTACCTGGCCCGACTTTCGCAGCGCGTCATTCAGATTGAGAACTCGCATATCATTCTGACGGGCGCGGGGGCGCTGAACAAGCTGCTTGGACGGGAGGTGTACACCTCGAATAACCAGCTGGGTAAGTAGTGTGTTTTGGAAAACGATGATAAATACTTATCATTCTTTCTCAGGTGGCATTCAGATCATGTACGCCAACGGCGTCTCGCACACTACCGCCCAGGACGACCTGGAGGGCGTCAGTACGGTCCTTCGCTGGCTGTCCTACATTCCCGCCCACCGCCTCTCGCCGCTGCCCATCCTCGAGCCGCTCGATCCGATTGAGCGCGAGGTGGCCTTTACGCCGACGCCCAGCCCCTACGACCCGCGGTGGATGCTGGCCGGTCGGGAGAATGCGCAGGGCATCTGGGAGGACGGCTTCTTTGACCGCGGCTCCTGGAATGAGATCATGTCGGGGTGGGCGTTGACGGTGGTGGCCGGCAGGGCCCGTCTTGGTGGCATCCCCGTCGGCGTCATTGCCGTGGAGACGCGCGCCGTCGAGCTGATCATCCCCGCCGACCCGGCCAATCTGGACAGCGAGACGAAGGTGGTCAGCCAGGCGGGTCAGGTGTGGTTCCCCGACTCGAGCTACAAGACCGCCCAGGCGATTGAGGACTTTAACCGCGAGGACCTGCCGCTGATTATCTTCGCCAACTGGCGCGGCTTCAGCGGCGGCATGAAGGACATGTACGATCAGGTGGTGAAGTTTGGCGCGTACATTGTCGACGCGCTGCACGAGTACAACCAGCCCATTATCGTCTACCTGCCGCCCTTTGGGGAGTTGAGAGGCGGCGCCTGGGCCGTGTTGGGTGAGTGCACTTGGAACGGTTTGATGTGAATTGGGAGTAACTCTTTGTATCTCTCTACTAGACGCGACCATTAACCCGAAGCACATGGAGATGTACGCCGACAATGACTCGCGCGGCGGCGTCCTCGAGCCAGAGGGCACCGTTGAGATTCGCTTCCGCTCCAAGGACCTCATCAAGGCGATGCACCGCTGTGATGCAGAGTGCAAACGACTGCTCAGTAAGTTTGCAGGGAGATTACATTGGACTTGATTTTTTTCGTACGACTAACCATTTTTCCTCATCATCCTCCTCACAGAGGCCATCAACGAGGTGACCTCCCACGACGAGAAGAAGCTGGTGGAGAATGAACTCCGCGAGCGGGAGGCCAATCTGATGCCGATGTACCACCAGGTGGCGCTCAGCTTTGCCGACCTGCACGACACGCCGACGCGCATGTACGAGAAGGCCTGCATCACCGAGGTGGTGCCCTGGCGCACCAGTCGCCAGTTCTTCTACTGGCTGCTGAAGCGACGCCTCTACGAGAACCGGGTCAAGAATGAAATTCAACGGGTGATTCTCAACAAGAACGACGCAGAGGCCAGCTCGATGATTAGGCGGTGGTTTGTAGAGCACCACGGGCTGCAGAATGTAAGTGATGAAGTGGAGGTTTGTGATTGATTCTGACTATCACTTTTTTCACTTTTTAGCAACACCTGTGGGAGTCCTCCNGAATGTAAGTGATGAAGTGGAGGTTTGTGATTGATTCTGACTATCACTTTTTTCACTTTTTAGCAACACCTGTGGGAGTCCTCCAACAAGATTGTCGCCGAGTGGCTGGAGACGCAGATTGACGGCGCCACCGTGGGCACCGACTCCAGTCCGGTGCTGGACAACATTCGGTGCATCCAACGGGACGCACTGACGCGACAGATTCAGAGGTATGTG